TACAATACAGTAGATTGTCGTTGAGTAGAGTAGAGTAGAGTATACTATAGTACAGTAGAGTTTCGTGGGGTATCGTAGAGTAAAGTAGGGTGTCGTAGAGGAGAGTACAATATAGTAGAGTGTCGTAGAGTAGAGTTGAGTACAGCTTTGCAGAGTAGAGTAGAATAGAGTGTCGTAGAGTGTCGTAGAGTGTCATAGAGTAGAGTAGAGTGTCGCAGAGTAGATTAGAATAGAGTAGAGTAGAGTTTCACAGAGTGTCGTAGAGTAAAATAGAGTGTTGTAAAGTGTCGTTGAGTAGAGTAGACTACAACGTCGTAAAGTGAAGTATATTATCCTAGAGTGTCATAGAGTACAGTAGAATATCGTAGAGTAGAATAGAGTGTCGTAGAGTAGAGTAGAGTGTCGTAGAGTAGAGTAAAGTGTTGTAGAGTGGAGTAGAGTAGAGAAGAGTGTCATAGCGTAGAGTACATTACAGTATAGTGGATAAATTATAGTAAAGTAGAGTAGAATAGAGAGTCGTCGAGTAGAGGAGAGTATCGTAGAGTAGAGTAAAGTAAAGTATAGTAGAGTAAAGTGTCGTAAAGTAGAGTATCGTAGAGTAAAGTGTCGTAGAGTAGAGTGTCGTAGAGTGTCGTAGAGTAGAGTAGAGTACAATAAAGTAGAGTACAGAAGAGTAGAGTAGAGTTTTGTACGGTGTTGTAGAGTGTTGTAGAGAGTCATAGAGTACAAAAGATTGTCGTAGAGTGTCGTGGAGTAGAGTAGAGTGTCATAGAGTGTTGTAAAGTAGAGTAGAGTAGAGTGTCGGAGAGTGTTGTAGAGTAGAGTAAAGGACAGTATCATAGAGTATTGTAGAGTACGGTAGAGTAGCGTGGAGTGTCGTAGAGTACAGTAAAATAAAGTAGAGCGGAGTAGAGTAAAGTGTCTTAGAGTGTCGTAGAGTGTCGTAGAGTAGAGAGTCATAGATTAGAGTAGAGTAGAGTATAATAGAGTAGAGTAGAGTATAGTAGAGTAGAGTAGAGTGGAGTAGAGTAGAGGAGGGGAGAGGAAAGGAGAGTACAGTAGAGTAGAGGAGAGTAGAGAAGAATAAAGTAGAGTACAGTGTCATAAAGTGTCGTATAGTATGGTAGAATAGATTGTTGTTGAGTAGAGTACACTGTCGTAGAGTGAAATAGGGGAGAGTAGAGTAGAGTATAGCGGAGTGTCATAAATTGTCGTAGAGTATAGTAGAGTAGATTGTCGTAGAGCAAAGTATAGTATCATAGAGTAGCATAGAATGTCATAAAGTGTCGTATAGTATAGTAGAGCAGATTATTGTTGAGTATAGTACAGTGTCGTAGAGTACAGTAGAGAAGAGTACAGGAGAGTAGAGTGTCGTAAAGTAGTGTCGTATAGTAGAGTAGAGTAAAGTGAAGTGTAATAAATTGTCGTAGAGTATAGTAGAGTAGATTGACGTAGAGTAGAGTAAAGTATCGTAGAGTAGAGTAGACTAGAGTAGAGTAGATTAGAGTCGAGTTGAGTCGAGTAGAGTAGAGTAGTGTGTCGTAGCATGTTGTAGAGTAGAGTAGAGTAAAGTGTCATACATTGTCTTTGAATAGAGTACGGTGTCGTAGAGTAGAGTAGGGTAGAGTAGAGTAGAGTAGAGTAGAGTGCCATAGAGTGTCATAGAGTGTCGTAGAATAGAGTACAATAGAGTACGGTAGAGTACAATAAGTTTCGTGGAGGAGAGTAGAGCATCGTGGAGTAGAGTATCGTAGAGTAGAATGTCATAGGTTAGATGGTTGTAGAGTAGAGTAGAGTAGAGTAGAGTAGAGTAGAGTAGAGTATAGTAGAGTAGAGTAGAGTTGAGTAGAGTGTGGTGAAGTACGTTACAATAGAGTGTCGTAGAGGATAGTAAGGTGTCGTAGAGCAGAGTAAATAGAGTAGAGTCGAATGTCGTAGAGTAGAGTAGAGTGGAGTATCATGGAATAGAGTAAAGTAGAGTAGAGTGTCATAGAGTAGAGTATAATAGAGTGTCGTAGAGCGTCGTAGAGTACAATGAAGTGTCACAGAGTAAAGGAGAGTGTCGTAGAGTAGAGTCTCATAGAGTGTTGTAAAGTAGAGTGTCGTAGAGTGTGGTAGAGTAGAGTAGAGTGTCGTAGAGTGTCGAAGAGTAGAGTAGAGTCGAGTCGAGTGTCGTAGAGTGTCGCAGAGTGTCATAGAGTAGAGTAGAGTATCGTGAAGTAGATTACATAGAGTGTGGTAAAGAAGAGTAAAGTGTCGTTGAGAAAAGTAGAGTATCGTAGAGTGGATTGTCGTAGAGTAGAGTAGAGTAGAGGGTCGCAGAGTAGAGTAACGTAGAGTAGGGTGTCGTAGAGTAGAGTGTCGTACAAAAGAATAAATTAGAGTGTCGTAGAGTAGAGTGTCATAGAGTAAAGTAGAGTGCCACAGAGCAGAGTAGAGTGTCGTATAGTGTCGTAGAGTAAAGTAGACAGTCGTAGAGTGTCGTAGAGTAGAGGAGAGTGTCATAGAGTGTTATAGAGTACAAAATCGTGGAGTAAAGTACAGTGTCCTAGAGTGTCTTAGAGTAGATTAGAGTGTCGTAGAGTAGTGTAGAGTAAAGTGTCATAGAGAAGAGTGTTGTAGAGTAGAGTATTGTAGAGTAGAGTAGAGTAGAGTAGAGTAGAGTGTCGCAGATTAGAGTGTGGTAGAGAAGAGTAAAGTAGAGTGTCATACAAAAGAGTAGAGTAGAGCATAGCACTCGTAGTTAACGGGTAATGAAAACTGCATCGAATGGAGCAAAGAAGCTTGCGAAGAAAAATGGGTCTTTTCGTCAAAAAAGACGTCTCATTCGTTGTGTATAAGATCTCGTCCGTTAAAGATCCATACTTGTTCCTCAAGGAAAAAAATGTTCGAAGTGTCTATAAATTAGTTGTGAGGTCTTTTTCTTCGTATACTTAGTCGTTTTTAGTACCTATCCCTACTCTACCCATAGGCCCTTCTTTGAGGTCGCCGAAAAATAGACCCTTTGTCGTTTTCCGTTCCCCACCCCCCCTCTACCCCTGCGCCCTTCTTTGCGTTCGCCGAAAAATAGAGCCCGAAGGTTTCTTTTTTTTTCGTCGTTTTCTTAGTCATTTTCCGTTCCCCACTTCTCCTCTACCCTGGGCCGTCGAAAAATAGAGCCCGAAGGTTTCTTTTTTTTCCGTCGTTTACTTAGTCGTTTTCCGTCCCCCACCCCTCCTCTACCCCTGGACCCTTCTTTGCATTCGCCAAAAAACTTCCTCTACCCCTGGGCCCTTCGTTGCATCCGCCGAAAAATACCCAGTGAGCTACTCCAAGCACCTATAACGACCGAGCCACTCCAAGCACCTATACTGACAGGGCCATCCAAGCACCTACACTAATGGAGCCACTCCAAACACCTATATCGATTGAGCCACTCCAAACACCTATCAACCGAGCCACTGCAAGCACCTACCGACCGAGCCACTCCAAGCACCCTAAGCGCACTCGTGGTTAACAGGTACTGAAAACTCCGCCGAATGGAGCAAAGCTTGTGAAGAAAAATGGGTCTTTTGGTCAAAGAAGACGTCTCATTCGTTGTGTAGAAGATAACGACTAAGTATGCAAAGAAAAAAAAGAAAGCTCTGGGCTCTATTTTTCGGCGAACGCAAAGAAGGGCCTAGGGATAATAATAGAAACCTTAAAAACGACTAAGTATGCAAAGAAGGGCCAAGGGCCTAGTGGTATACAAAGGACATCTCACTTTTACATATGTGTTGTGACAGATTTCTTTGGATAAACATCATTAGGATTCTTCGAATATTTTAAGGTCGGTTAACCATCTGTCGAAAAAATAAAAAGTGGGGGAAGAATCGGGATTTTCCCCCACCTTTCATAATGCCAAAGAGACTCAATTAACGAAGTGCCAATCAAGGATCGAGCTGCTAATCAAGGATCGATCTGCCAATCCAGGATCGTAGTGCCAATTAAGGATCGAACTGCCATTCAATGTGATTTGTCCGTTTTCTCGAAACAAAAAAAGTGGGGGAAGAATCGCGATTCACCCCCCACCTTTCACAATGCCGAAGGGAACGAGTCAACGAAGTGTCAATCAAGGATCGAACTGTCATTCAATGTGTTTCGCCGACTTTCTCAAAAAAAAAAGGTGGGGGGAAAATCCCCACCTTTCACACTGTCAATGGGACTTAATCAACAAAGTGTCAACCAAGGATCGCACTGCCATTCAATGTGTTTTTCCGGTTTTCTCGAAAAAAAAAAAGGTTGGGGGAGGGAGGGATGGAGGAGGAGATGGTTGACTTGGAGGTCGTACCTCTGTCAGCCATGAGATGGATCAGAGGAAGTACAAGCAGCCCCACGACGATGATGGCAAATGATGCGAAAGTCAGACGCTGATGGCAAATGATGCGAAAGCCAGACGCTGACATAGAATGGTCAAACTGCAATGTGAACGTCATCACCAATTGGCGTCATGCACAACTGTGAGTCGCCGCGATTCTCCATACCTAGCATTGTTGTAGTTAGCTTCAATCGCTGTTGGACTCACATCGCCGACCGAAAATGCAGGGCGGTACCAAATGGGAGAAAGCAGGCCGAGTACGAAACGAAAAAAAGGTCAGGCCCGATATCAAACTCGAAAAAGGGTCAAGAGCGGTACCAAACGAAAAAAAGGGCAGACCCAAAGTATGGTCTGCACCGCCCACTGTTTTCGGGTCCACGTGCAGGCCCTATCCTTTTTCTATTCTCACTATATCGTGCCGCACGAAGGCACCACCCATTGCCACGTGGGGCTGGATGGGGAAGGAAAAACACCCTAACCCCTGCCGGCATGTTCATTTCGCATCCGCACAAAATATGAGCCCCGACGGAGCGCTATTCTGCCAGATGTGCGCCATTGCGAGCTGCTCGTGTGCCTCCAAACTACTCCTGTTTGTTGTATGTGTGTGTAGTGACGGTGCCTTCTTCTTTCGACAACACCTTCAACGAGCGCCTTCTCAGGGCACCTTCGCTCGGTGCCTTCGAGCAGCCGTACGCCTTTTCGCAAGGTCCACAGACCAAACATACATCGTATCCATCACAAGGTGTGAAGGAGCCTGGCGCTGTACACAGGAAGAAAGCGCCAGGTCCAGACATACACAGACGAAGAGGAGGGGATCAGACGAAGAGAGGGGGAGCGATGGGAATGTCGTCAACACCAAGTCTTTGTCACGTCCCAAATAATCCCTCGTCCTAATGTCTGAAGCCCAAAAGTCGAGTCTGGATCCAATGTCACCAAGTTTTTTCTCTCTCTTTCTCTCGCAGTCTGCTGATGCAGTGAAGTCAGATAATGAGAGGGTGAGAGGGAGATGGACTGAGAAGAGGAAGAAGAAGAACTCTCTCTCTGTCACGAGCCAGATACTAACCTGTGAAGTTGGCGCTGTGCTGCAGGTACCTCGAAGACGAAGCTGGCGCAACGGCGCTGCAGGTAGGTACTCCTGGCCTCCGCCCAATCTCTCTCTCTCTAGGGCTATCCTAGCTATGGCGCCCAACGCTGAAGACTACAGCTACCTACTGCGCCCAGCGCTGAAGACTAATGCTAACGCTACTACTACTCCTGCAGCGCTCCCTCCAGAGTGCTGCTGCCGAATCCTGAAGATTACTGACTGCCTCCGGCCTGCCCGTGAAGTGCATGGGAAGTCCCTATGTACTACCTCGGCCTGCCTCCTGACTGCATGCAGGGCGAGCCAGGCCGAGGAGGCTGCTCTTGCCAATGTCGGCGCTAGCACCGCCGATTTCCCCCATCGGCAATGCCTGCCCACCCCTCGTCACCGTGATGAGGGATTGGTACAGCCTTGCCCTCGCACCGCTGCTGTGGTGCCAACCTACCCCGTGGGCTGGGGAGAGATCCGAGTTGGTTGGTGTTCCCCCATACTACACATACACTAGTGAGAGGATGAGATAGATGAGTACCAACAAGAAAAATGAGGTAGATGGGAGAAGAATATAACTTAAAAAAAAAAAAAAAAAAAAAAAAAGTGTGTCAGGGGCTGGTGCTGCAGCATCTGCTGAGGCTGTCGTGGGAACACGCTAAGAATAGCCTGTTCCCGAAACCCTGGTTCGGTGCCTGAGTTTTAGGGCCGGTCGTTTTGCCGAAAATGGCCCTTCGTTTCAGGCTAAAAAGGCTCCTGCCATTTTTAGTCTGAGACGACACAGGGTCTGTAGGCCCCTGTTTTTCAGGCTTTTGGGCTGAACAGAGACGGGGCCTGTAGGCCCTGGTTTTCAGGCTTTCAGCCTGAATTTCAGGCTTCCGGCCTGAGGGACGTAGGGCCTGGAAAATGGCCCTTGTGTGCAGGCGCAGCATGTAACACCCCCCTCTCCTTATGAAGTCAAGCCGGGGCGAGGGCGAAGTCGACAATCTAAAGGTGGAACCTCGACGCGGGCGCAGCGTGGAGCCGAATAGATACCGGCTTGCGTTCATATCGTGCGAGAACTTCTGGAGCTGTTGCTTGAAGTTCCACACGGGTCAACCAACGGTAAGCTCGGTGTATGCAGTATGCAAAATGCACCAAATAATCGGTTGGCCTGTTGCTGTAGCGTCGCTGGGAGATGATGTCCCCGACCTCCTGAAAACCGTCCATAGAGGTTGGGTCTTGCGAACGTCTCCCGGGAAAATCGTCATGTTCTGCTGGTGTGTAAAGAGCCAACTTGGAGCAATGAAAGACTGGGTAGACGGGCAAGTGGGCGGGCACCTGAATCGTGAAGGAAGGTCCCTCGGGTGCGTCCCCAGCGGGTGCTATGATCGGCCAAGGCCCCATCCATTTCAGGAGGAGCTTGCGAGAGATATCTTGTTCAAGGCTGAATTCCTCGGCGGAGACCCAAACGATATCGCCGGCGCGGAATGGGCAAGGAAGACGTTGGTGATTGGCCTTCTGGCTCATGAGTTGCTGCGTCTTGGCCATCTGATCGTGTGCCTTGACAAGTAGCTCTTGCATCTGACGCAAGAAAAGAAGATGGTCGTCGCTCTCGGCCGTTCGTGGAGTGATAATGTCCAACGACGAAATGACCGGCGAGCCGTGCTCGAACTCGAAAGGCGATATCTCGATAGCCGGGGGATAGAGGAGTTGTAGGCCAACTCGACATCCGACAGCCGCTCAACCCAGTCCTTCTGGTCGGGGCGGATGAGAGTGCGAAGGAGAACCTATGCGGTCTGATGCGCCCTCTCCGTCTGGCCATTGGTTTGGGGGTGGCGAGCCGAACTTGGCTTGAGAGATGAGCCCCATCGTTTGATGAGCGCCAACAAAAAATCGGACATGAACCGAGTGTCGCGGTCGCAGACGATTTCCTTGGGGTAACCCTTGGTTCGAATCCAACCGGCGTTGAGAACCTCGGCCAACTCCGGTGCCTTGGCATGATAGCGACAAGGCAAAAACATGGCGAACTCGGTGAGTCGGTCGACCACCGTGAGAATCCCATCCACTCCGGTCTTGTGCTTGGGAACGGGCTGGTAATGTCCATGGCAATTGCTTCCCTTCGCCTCAACGGGACCGGTAATGGTCGTAACTCGCCGTACAGACGATGGTTGCGGGATTTGCAGCGTCGACAAACCTCGCATGACTCCCAATAGCGTGTGACATCGCCGAGAAGGCCGGGCCACCAAAATCGCTCGCGAAGTCGGCCAATCGTGCGATTGACTCCGAAGTGTCCGGTGGTGGGAGCATCGTGGAACTTGCCAAGAAGCCGTGAGGATCACTCGGTACGCAAAGAAGGTCCTTCCCCCACGTGTGGACAATCAAGTACCCTTCTTGGATCCGGTAGTGAGAAGGCGCCGGATTAGGAGAGGAGCAATTTGCGTACTTGTTGTGGAACTCAGGGTCGGCTTGGTAGCCGCGGATGAAGCTGTTCCGCAGGTCATTGTCGATCTCGAAGGTTGAGTAAACAGCGGTACAATGATCCGGACGCTGTGAAAGAGCATCCGCAAAACGGTTCGACTTCTCAGGAATGTGATCGGGAAAGAAGTCGAACTGGTCGATGAAAGCCATCCATCGAGCGATGGTGCTGTTGACGGTGTCTTGGGTCTTATAGAAGACCAACGGATTGTTGTCCGTTACCCATCGGAATTGGCTTCGACCGAGGAGGAAGTGCCGCCACCGCTTGAGCGCGTGGACGAAGGCAAGGAGCTCCTTCTTGCGTGCATCGTCAATGGAATGCACGACAGGCACTTTCTTGCTGAAATACTGGACCGGGTGCCAGTCCACACCATCATGTTGCTCGAGGACTGCACCAATGCCATAGCCTGACGCATCCGTAGTGACGCGCGTAGGCAAAAGCGGGTCGTATATCCGCAAGACCCCCGCAGCAGTGAATCCCCCCCGGCGGCGGACAGGCGCGGCCAAGTCCGCGGCCGCGGCCAGGCCGTGAAGCCCGCGGACGTGTCCGCACGGACGCGCACATTCGCGGACACGTAGCGGCCGCAGGGGAGGGGGTTTGAAGATTCTGACGGTGCCACGTGGCGGTGCATCCCCTGCCCCACCCCCCCCTTCCACAAAAAAAAAACGAAAAAGATCAACTTTTGGTGGGGGGGGTATGGGCGAAATGCAACGAAAATGGAAAAAAAAAAATGCGTTATTTTTTT